TCATCCTCCATGAACTGCGGAACCGCCTTGTTCCAAATCTCTGCCCACTCCTCTACATCCTCCGCATTTTCACCGGTACAGGGTGCACCCAGCGCGGCCTTCGCGAGCGTGATCCAGTGGTCCAGCTTCGTCGGACAGGCCGTCCTGATCATGCGCCCAGAGAACCTACTCTTCACCCGCTTTTCGAGTATGTTGATCGTGTCCACCCGCGCGGTGACACCGACGACAGCCATCCCACTTCCGGCGCCAGTTCCTGTGCGACATGATTGCGCAGTATCGAGGAGACAGTACAAGAGAGCCTGTCTCGCATGACTGGCAAAGAGGTCGAAGCCATCCAGTACAATCACAGTCGGCCGAGGTAGCGTCGGAATCATCGAAATGAGAGCAAGAAGATGCGAAGGCGGAGGAAGTGTGATCACAGGCTCAACCAGGCTTGATGGTGCGGCAGGAGCGTGGTCCACGAATGGGTTTTCATCGTCGTCGCCTTCTTCCTCTAGAGTCTCCCCACTCGCTTCTTGCTCTACTGTCGCAGGTGGGTCGGCAGCGTCTTCCTCATCCTCTTCGTCGGACTCAGCGGGCAGGAAGGAGGTTCCGGTCTGCTGCGCAAGCTGCCATGCGATCTCACGAATCGCCAAGCGGTCATTGTGTTGTGCGTATCCGGACAGTCGGACCACGATGGGCGTGGTGGGCAGGGCTGTAATGGCTCGCTCGACCATCTTTGAAGCCAAGATGAGTTGAATACCCCCTCTTGGTTAAGTGCGTAACAAAAACGCACCTGTGTCTTGCCGCTACCGCTGGGCCCGATGAGCAAGCAGCTATTACCCTCTCCGCGTACGACGCTGCCCATCAATAGATCGCTGAGCTGCTCGTAGGCGTTCGTGTTCGTAGGAGGGTAGTCTTCGCCATATACCTCAATTTCGTCTATCTCAGGTGGTTGCTGGAGGGCTTTCAGGATCGCGCGCTTCTGGCGCTCCAGCAGAGGGTGTAGATGGTCAGGGAGGTCCCGGGGCAAACCTTCTTCAGTACGCTGCGATGCTTGGTTTCGCTGTCGTTTAGAGGGCGAAGCTGCAGCCGCTTTGCGTGCCGTGTGAGACAGCGACACAAGAGGCGGACGTACAGGTTCCGGAGAGGGTGTCCGCAGTCTCCGCTGCCTGAGCGCTGAAGCTGGAGGGAGAGGAAGTGCATGTTTGGTTGGACTGCCTGGGGCTGCAGGTGGTAGACGCGGAGTCCCTAAAGGCGGAATATGCGTAGAACCTCTGGGCGCGGGCGAACCAAGGCTTCGCTTGAGAGTGGTGAGCAAGTGTTTCGGTGTGCGGATCTCAACAGAGTCCATAACCATGCGCGGAGTACCCAGACGACTTCCAGTTGGGCGCGTTGGAGTTGGAGTGGTCGGACGGTTCTCCGACGTTAAGAGCAACTCGTCATCTGAGCTCTCGTCTCCATATTTCTCAGGCGTCTTAGGACGAGGAGGAACGAGGACAGTCTTCTTCTTGACCGGGGTCACCTTTGGAGGTGGTGCTTTAGGTACAGCGGCTCCCTTCCGCCTCATGCGGCCCTTGACCGTGCTCGGGGAAGTATGTTCGGGGGCTGGCTGAGCCTCATCTTGATTCGCATCATAGACTGGAGGCTTAGGGTCGACAACTACTGCAGCGCTGCCTCTGATGCGTCGGGTACGCTTCGGGCGAGAACTCTCTGCCTCATTGGCTTGGGGCTCGGGATCATCGACGGCGGTATCTTGCGTCTACCCGGTATAATGGTTCACAACAAGCTCGAGGTAGAGTAGAGAGGGTTGCGCACCTTCGTCGATCGTGCGCGCTTTCTGGGCGCAGTGTTGACGGTGTTCTGGCGAGCCGGTGACAACGGCTGAGGAGGATGTGCGGGCTCTTCAGAATGTGACTCCTCTGCCTCTTCCTCCTGTTGGACCTGGAATCCAAAGTCCACATAGAGTCTCATAGATACATTATGTTACACACCTTCTTCCCTCTCACACCTCTCTTCTTCGGCACACTTGATTCAGGAGCTGGTGGGTCCTCGGATTTCGCATCGGTTTTCCGGGCCCGCGCTGCTGCTCGACTCGCCCGGTCGGTAGGTTTCGTAGCAGAAGGGGCGTTCAACGCTTTGGAGCCATCTTCTGATTTGGTGCCACGCCTTGGCCTCTTGGTTGGAGGTGGTTCTGCTTGTGCTTCGACCGGGGTGGTGATTGCTGCAGAGCGGGTTGTCCGGCGTGTCTTTGGTGCTTCAGGCTCAGTAAAAACTGCTGCTGCTTTCCGTTTGGGAGGCATAGCGAGGATAGCGAGAAGGAGATGGAGGGAAGGGATGCGCAAGCAGTCTGCCGAATGCGACTCGGACTCCGAGTCCTCCAGCCACAAGCGCGACCAGTCACAGTGACTACGTCACGGACGCGAACCTCAACGCGATCGACATAGGCGTCTATGCCTCCAACGGAGCGAGCACATCCCCATGCAGTCTCCATAGTCTCATAACAAACTTGCGGAGATAAATTGGTGCTCGGAGTCCGCGAAGTGCATTACTCAAGCACACTCATACATGGGTACAATTCAATTACCAGGGACGGTGTCAGTGAGCCTCAAGCTCGATACTGGCCGTACAGGAGAACGTTCTACATGACTCAAGACACAACAGACCCGGTATCTCCTTCTCGCTGCCAACGTACTAGGGGCATAACTTGCCCATCAACCCGCTTGGCACGACGCATTAACTTCCTATCTAAACGAGAACCGCGGTGGTTCTGCTCGCTGTACTTCAACCAGAAGTCCCTCGTGTAAGCCCCATCTGTCCCCACGCCTACTTCTGCTGAGATGCGTGCAAGCCAATCCCGACGGGCAATCGATGCTGGATAGTGCCGCTCGGCATGACTCGCGTTCCGGGAATCAACAGCATCTTGGAACGTGTAATGGGGCACGAATACTACCCGCGAGCCAGCGTCGTGGATGACCTTGCGGAACTTGGCAGCGTGCCAACGATAGAATGGCTCGAAAGAGTCGGAGATCGTGTGGGGTCCAGGTGAGATGACATGTACTGGTTCCCGAATGGGCCAATCTCGGATGCCTAAAGGAAGGTTGAGTCAGCATTGTTGAACAGAATCTGGCTCGGAGGAACTACTCACTCAGCCCTCCTTGTAAAGCAGGAAGGTAGGAAGAGTTTGGATGCTCGAATACCCAAGAGCTCAGGATAATGCGGAAGGAGTCCACATTGGGCGCACACCTTCGCCATCTTGGAAAATCTGGATAAGTCGGCTCGAGGATGTGGAACCTGGTGAGGGAGGGGAATGTCGCAGCAAAGATAGTGGCTGTATGACATATGCGGATCATGGGGGGCAAGTTGCGAGTACACCAAAGCTCGCGAAGTTTCGGGAAGTCTGGGCGATTCAGCCATAGACAATATGGGTTCTTGGGGGTTAAAAAGTTCTCCAGCTGCAGTAGACAGAGTGTCTCGAGGTCCTCTGCCACCAGATTCAGGATGTCCGAAACCACCCGATGGTATTCGTTCTCCAGCTCGACAACGAAAGTGAGCCACTCCTCTTCGGTTCTCTTCTTCTCCTCCTTTCGTATCTCCTGCCAAAGGCCCTCAATACGAGAAGTCTGGGGGGCGTCGAAGCCAAACAGGAATAGGGACGTCGAAAAGCAGGTCACGGGATCCACGAGGATACACAGGTGTCGGACCCTTGGCTTCTGATGTCCCTGCTCGAGCGCGACCTCCTGCGCCTGGCGAAAGTGCTGGAGGAAATTGGACAACATGTTCATCGAACCGGAGACCAGTGAAACGGATGTGAAGTGGGTGGCGCGCGACGCCGCATAGATCTTCCTCGACACTAGTGAGAGCGAGCGAGCTGTGAGACCACCGTCGGTACTTGCATACGCGAATATTTCGTGCAGAATCTCGAGGGGAAGCTGGTCCAATGTGGGAATCGTCTTTTGTCTCCGGGACAGCCTGACGATACGCTGAGCGGCCGAGCGTAACTCTGCGATAAAAGGTTTCGGGAGGCGTCGGTAGCCAGGGGAAGGAGCATTGGGCGTGAGAGGAAGATGGCGCAGCATCTCGGAAGGAGGGAACCACTGGCTGGAAGTAGTGAGTTTGGACCTGCCAACTAAAACAGCGTCAGCCTGAGCGCATGCATACTTACGTATAAGTGGAGGTAAGCGCGTACAAGGGCAGACGTGTTGATCAAAGACTCGACGTAGGGGCGAGAATAGTAAGCGCACCTCAAGATATATGAAGTCGCACTGACCTTCGGGGTAGTCATTGTTTCGCGAGTATTGTGAGTAACCAGCGGCATCTACATAGCAACACTCACACGGTATTGTGTTGACTACAACCTGAGACGGAACAATACTAGCATCCGTTGGTTCCTCAGTACAGTGTGGCACTGCGGTTCTTGAGTAGGTGAGCTGTATTCATCTAGAGGCGGCCCTCACGACTTCGACTTCGATCGGGAAAACTTCATGCATTTGACAAATCGTTCGCTAGTAAGGCCGGGAAGCTTGGTCAATGCGTCTGGAATCTGGATGGGTATAGCAGTATACACCAGAGGATAACTTACTGCAGAGAGTTTAACATCTTTCAACTCGAAGTTCACAGCAGGAAGCTGGGTTGGTGGGCATTGTTGAGTCGTCACACTGCAGGGCTTGCGCTCCGCGACTGCAGCGCCTTACGATATCATGGAGTCCCACTCGAAATCCCTGCTAGGGGCGCAAGAGCAAACTACATTATATAGACTAGAAGAGAGCGTTGAGGAATAGCCAGTAGTTGGAGACTCGGAGGCAGGGCACCGTACGATTGCAAAGAGAGGTAATGGCCACTGGGACGCACGGCGCGGTGACACTACGATTCTTACTCAGAACAACGGGCCGGTCCTCCACCTCGTCCAGTAAGGCGTCTACAGATACACCGAGCTTTGACCCCCCATTTATCGTACATTCGCAAGCCTGCGACCCCCTCTCCTGACCTGCTCGTAGGATATGACGTTAACAGGTAAAAAGTGGTTCGACCCGGGCTCGAACCGGGGACCGCCTGTGTTCATATTGTGAGACAGACGTGATAACCAACTACACCACCGAACCATACGATGGGGACTTGTTTTATAAAATACAATGCGTTATCAACATCACCTCGCTAACTTCGAAGTCACTGGATAGTCAGTGTGCTGCCAGTGTCCAAAACATCCCTCTGTGGACAAGTGGACAAGAAACATTTGTAACCGGAATATCATGGATGTACATAATCGTCGTGGCAGGAGATAATGCATTGACAGACTGACATAGCTCAGTGCACCTGCCTACCAGGACACGCTGATCATGTCAGGTTGAGGTACAAATCATCGACCGCCCAACATCCAGGAAGACCTGCTTCCCAGCAAGCCCACTCCTGCTTTGCCGCCTGCTCGTACTCTTGATTCCTGTCCGAGAATGGTAGCATGGGAGGAACCAACGCCCATTGACGAGCTGAGGCGCGATGCAGGTCACGGAGTTCCTCCAGTGATATAGCAAGCTCCGCGACAGTATCGAAGTCAAATGGTGCAGAGCCTTGAGGGAGCGTCGGGGATGCATCCGCCTGGACAACGAACACTCTCAAGTGTTGGAACAAGGGTGAGCGGTCAGGAAGGCCTACATGGAGCATCAACGGGGAACGGGTGAGCAACGAAATGAAACGGTACAATGTGTAATAAACGAACCGATCACGTCCGCCACGGTAGCAGCGATAAACAGGTGATATTGTTTCCAGTTAGCAAGACAGAGATGGGTGAGCCCCGGGGCGCGTTCTGCCCAGTGTCGCAAGTTCGGATTGCGTGTCCATACATATCTTGGGTCACATGTGATATGCAGACGGGAGAGGCTTGGGAGCTGAGGGTAGTTTGCAAGGTCTTCGGTGCCTGCAAGACTATCCAGACCATCCCATGTGGGGAAGGGGGAGACGGGAGCGAACTTAGACCCATAGCCGTAGAGGGAGAGTTCGCGCAACTTCGGGTAGCTGACTAGGCCAATATCGGGGAGCCGTAGCTCGTCTTCCCAACCGATGTGGCTGCTCTGCAACAGAAGGGAGTGGAGGTCGGGTGCGATGATTCCAATTAACCGGGAGACGTCTTCCTGGTAGCCCGCTAACTCCTCCCTAGCACCAGGATGATTGCGCCTGATCATCCGTCTCGCTGATGCGAGGAAAAGATGCCGAACTTGGACTAGTTGGCTCGTGGATCCTGCACGTTCGCGTTCTGCTATGAGACACGATGTGAACTGTGCTATCTGTGTGGTGCGTCCAGAGCTGAGGGCGACCGAATTGAAGCGACTAGTGCGAACGATCGCGCGGAAGCGCGTCGAGACTTGCGATAGCGAGCATCCAGTCCAGCCGCTGTCGCTACAGGCGAGCCTGAAGACCAATTCGAGCAATTCCACCGGGACATGGTCAATGACGCAGGGCTGGGACTATAAGTACAAGAAAAACTGAATTACGACTAACGAGCCAGTACCACGGTAAACAGGTTCACGTACGAATTTGCTCGAGAGCCGTATCCTCATCCGCCTCTTGAGAGAGTCAAGCCGACCCATTCGTATTTGGATGAAACGACGGTGACGAAAGTTCACGGTCGTATATGGTTATGGAAGAAGAGTACTGGGCGTAGGCGTCAAACGGCCGCGCAGCCACGTCCGAGTCTGGTTATTCTCTGAATCCCACGCGAACCTTCACGCCATTTTGCCACCACATACGACGACTAGACAACTACACAGCAGGACTCGCAATGCAATCGCCACAGGGAGAATCCCCGGTCGATCGGCGAGGTCTGTACTAGTCTCGCAGGTTCGTTGTTAGTAATCCCCAGTAGTGGCGCCGGTTTGCACGATCACTAATGGTATGTTCCGCTTCAACTTATAGCTTCAAGTTGTCTACCAAACTGACATGGCCAAAAGGCGTCATTTAGGTTCTCCTAGTCGTGGACGATCTTTGTTCAAGTAGTCTACTAGTCAGTCATGGGCCGCCGACGACTCAATGTACTCTGCGTCCCCGCGAGCTTCTCGCGCTCGACGACACTTCAGGGGCGCTGCTCTCCTCTGTTGCATCTTAGTAAGTGCTCTGTCAGCTGCACGGAGGGCGTTGCATCAATGGTAGGTCTCTCTGTCTGTGCGAAATTTCAGACATACAGGGCAAGTCTTACCCCGTTCCGCAGAAGTTCAGACCATGCCAGCATGTACATAAAGCCTCTACAGGGGAACACGATTTCCATCCCCCCATCACCCACAAGTGCTCCAACATGCCGGAGCCCATCGTGTTCTACGATATTCCACGTAAGGCAACCGTGCCTAGCGAGAACGCATGGAGCCCCAACACCTGGAAGACGCGGTATGACCAGGTTGTCTGCTCTGACCACCTTACGACCACTGAAATGTATACCTACAGGTACTCCCTTAACATCAAGGGGCTTGCGTATAAGACCGTCTGGATCGAGTACCCGGACATCGAGGCCTTGTACAAAAAGCTCGGCGTCGAACCAGTCGATATAGGTCCCACCGGTGCACCATACTGCGGCCTCCCGTTAATTTACGACCCGAACACCGGCGCGAAAGTCAACGACTCCGCATCTATCGCGCGTTACCTCGATAAAACGTACCCTGACACCCCCACGCTCATTCCGAAAGAGACCGACGCACTACACGCGGCCTTCCAGCGCGCGTTCGCGGCGGTCCTAATATCCGGCAACGGGGATTTCCCGTCGCTCATGATGCCCGAGACACAAGCCCGGCTCAACCCAGCGAGCCAAGGGTACTTCAGGCGTACGCGCGAGGAGTGGTTCGGGACTGCCCTCGAGGAGCTTGCGCCCCACGGGAGCGAGAAGCGGCGGAAGCACTGGGAGGGCGTGAAGAACGCATTTCACGAGGTTGCGGGATGGCTGCAGGCAGGTGGACAGGACAACCTGGTTTTCCTCGGCAACCAGAGGATCTGTTATGCGGACGTGACGGTTGCCGCGTTCCTGGTCTGGTTACGGATCACCTTCGGCGAGGCCAGTGAGGAGTGGAAGGATGTATTGACCTGGGATGGCGGGCGGTGGGCCAAGTTCGCAGAGGCTTTCAGAGAGTACGAACATGTGGATGAGGGATCATCCCTAGTGCTCTAGAGCTGCATGCAGTGAACAACGAATACGATTGTGTAGTGGTTAACATATGACAACTGCTGAGGAAGTCTGCAACTGAACATCAAGCATTGTATAGCTGAAGCACGCACAATGGCACCCGTACGGACTTCAGCTTTCAACGCATGGACATTCGCTTGCGCTCGTGCCCGAGTTTCGGACCGTTTCTCAACGGTGGCGACCAACCGCGCCACTGGCATTAGTCTAACTATCTAGCTGATACGTAAGACGGGAACTCGTGCACAGCAGAACAGGGAGACCTAGCGGGATAGAAGCTAATGATACAAATGCGCGAGCAGGATAAAGTACGGTGCCACTCGTCATAACAGTCTCAATGGTTGCGAAAGGGTAACGGAGGACATGTAAGTGTAAGTAATAGCAATAAAGCATAGTAGAAGCGGATTGGTCAGAGGTCGGAGGAAGGAGGAAGGGAGGAGGTGGAGAAGAGGATGAAGGTGAACGACGCGGCCCTCGAAGTGCCTTGGGTCTACCTGGCTCCTGACAGGGCCTGCTCTGAGTGTCCGGCAGGTCAGATGCGCGCGTCAAACCTCTAACCGTGGAAGGTGACAACCGGCGACAACAAGAAATGACGAGCGGCGGGGAGGGGCAGACCGACTACCGGGTCAGAGAATCCTAGCGAAGTGCGACTATGGTAGCAGGGAGAGCAGAACGAGATGGCGTGCGGATGCATGGTACACGAAAGACAAAATGCGGGGAAGTGCGTATACAAGAAGGCGAAGTGCGGTCGGAAGGTGTGTGGGAGGTTGTGTTGGTAGATGCTACAGCGCGAAGGTAGTGCTGACAGTCGACATGGTATCACCGGTCAAGGCCCCGACCGGTCGGGGTCCCTATGGCCATCAACAGTTGGCATCGACGCATGCTAATACTCACTCATTGCGCACCTGGTTACCATCACCGTCAGCTCGAAGAGATCATGCTTGGATCATGAAGGGTAGGCCACTCACCACGAGGCGGCGGACAGGTGTTGGGTCTTGCGGTGAAGCAGCCGGAACAGCCGAAGCACCAAATTCATCAGGAAGCGCAGGCGGAGCCGCAGCGGGCTGAAGAGGAGGGTTGTTGATGGATTGGGAGGAGATGGGGCTAGGAGCGTTCGTGGGCTGAGCGATAGGGTTGGTCGGCGGGATGTCCAGCGCCGGAGGAGGCTTGCGCTGCGCCGATGGGCGACGCTGTGGAGGGTTCGCCGGAGGTTGAGCCTGCGTTTGCGCGCCTGCTCCCACACCGGCCATCGCACTATACTCAGCGATACCTCCGTACGCGTCCTCCGTCCCAGCATAAGCCTGGTCGTACCCGGTCTGGGTGGCATTGCCGTAACCGTATCCCCAGTTGTTGCTGTTCTGGACATACCCGCCGTATGCGTTGGAAGCGTACTGCGGCTGCGCACCGTACGCGTTCGCGTAACGGCTCGGAGCGGGAGGAGGCGCGAACGTCGGGGTACTGGCGGCGTAGCTGTCCTGGTACATATGACGAGGCTGCACGGCCGGCGGGATCGTACCATGGCCAGTCGAGCTGCTGCTGCCATGACCGAGACTGGAACCAACCCCATCGCCCTTCTCGACATCATGCGACTCGTTGACCAGGTTCGCGTTGGAGAAGTCGAGGATGTCCTCGTGCAGCCTGTCGTTGCGACGCTTCCTGATGGCCCATGTCGCGATGGCGATAATGATGACCAGGCCCACGAGTGAAGCCGCCGTGATCACACCGACTGAGAGTGGTTTGTTCTGCAGAAACGACTTGGGGGCATCTGCAGCCGCAGCCGACGCGGAAGACGAGGCTGAGGAGGAGGACGTGGAACCCGAGGCGGGAACAGTGACGGTCGCGGTGTTGGTCACGCTGTTGGAGGTGCCCGGTGGGAGAGTAACACTCGCACTGGTAGAGTCAGTCGACGAGCTCGACGTTGTCGCGGTGCTGGCAGAGGTCGAGCTA